CCCAACTTCTCCGATGTCCAGGATGATTCTAACCTTACAGTTCCCAAGCACCGCCGTCAGGTAGCTCACCACCGCGGTAGCCGACCCTCCTCACTGCCTCGGAACCTGGCGTGCTCGCGCGCTGGTCGCGTGTAGTTTTCCAACAGGTGTAACTCTTGGCTTCTCCAGTAGACCGAACAGAAAGTGTCCCGGAGCACCTCACTAAAGTCCACTGCAATATAAAGGGTCCTAACCGAACACTTGGCTGCAGATACTTTCCCAAAGCCTGGAGAAGTTTGGACTTAGATTATGCTCAGCGGAGGAACAACCGGGCAGGCTGTCTCCTTCACCATCCTTCAATCAACCCATACTCTTTTTCACTCCCCTTCCCAGATCCTTGACCAATCAGAAACTAGTAAAATAATTTAGCAATTATTACAAACAGAAAGGAAATACAAACACTCACCTGTTTTAGTCAGAACAACCTGGTAGTTGATATCAATGTTGGGTTGGCAGACCGTCTCCCTCTGAGCCATGAACGCAGCTATCTGTGATTGATCTTTGTTCAATCGTTCTGCGTTCTTCACTCCCAGATCCGTGTATCCAACAAACCTCCCCACATTGCTGTCAAACCTGAGGTACTCCTTCTTGTTGTAATATTCAGAGCAGATGAACTGGATGTCCTTCAGCTCAGTGGAGTTAAACACACAACGAATCGCTAAATATTCCATGAATCCATCTGGGAACCAGAACAGAAGCCCAGCATCAATGATCAGAACATTATTGATCTGCTATCAGCTGATCGATCTCTGAGGCCAATAGAGGAACAATATCCTAATTAATCAGTTTGATGATTGGTGCGACTGGACAGGAAGTGATGTCACTTAAAACAACATAAACTGATCACAGTCATTGATCCTTCCTGATCAACAGAGGGAGATTACAAAAATTATTAATTAATATAGTGATGAAAATTATCTATCAATTATTGCTATAATTCATAGAAGAAACTGTTTAAAACAACAATAGTTTATTCAACTATTGATCAGCTGTAATAAAAAAGCTCAGTGTTTATTATTGATATATTGATCATCAGAGGCGTGCTGTCATGATGCGATGGTTTACTAGCCCATATGCAGACTCAGACACGGAGGGAGGAATAAAAGTCCAATGTTTATTGGAACACGGAGGAATCACAGAGGCTCAGACAGGCATGGTGGCACAGAGAAAACAAACGATCCAGCACAGAGAGGAGTTCACACACAGCTTAAATAGGAAGCCTCCTTAATCATAAGCTGAT